TTCTTTACGCTTCCACTATTGCTCTAACACTTTATCTTATGTACATATATTTTGTTTGGAATATTCTTTGACTTTATGAACAATTTAATCACTCTCAGCAGACAGTAAACACCTTTAAGGTAATACTCTGGCATTACAATTCTGTGATGCAGTAACTGCTAAACCATTAACTGTTGACTGAATACGTTGGTAAATCTGCAAGTCAGGGGCAGGCTCTATCTATCTATCTATCTGTCTGTCTATCTATCTATCTATCTATCTATCTATCTATCTATCTATCTATCTATCATCTATCTATCTTATCTATCAGACGGAGTCTCGCTCTGTCACCAGGCTGGAATGCAGTGGTGCAACCTCAGCTCTCTGCAGCCTCTGCCTCCTGGGTTCTCCTGCCTCAGCCTCCTGAGTAGCTGGGACTACAGGCGCACGCCACCACACCCAGCTAATTTTTATATTTTTAGTAGAGACGGGGTTCACCATGTTGGCCAGGATGGACTCGATCTCTTGACTTCATGATCCGCCTGCCTTGGCCTCCCAAAGGGCTTTTACTTTATTTTTAAAGGAAAAAATGTTCTGAGTAAGATGGATATTGGAAGAGGTTATTACTTGTAACTGGCATGTCCTGGTAGTTCATTCACTCTTTGCTCAAATATTTGCTTAGCACCTGCCGTCTATCAGGTACTGTGCTAGGCACTGAGGATACACCAACAAAGACACTGGCTTTGCCATATAGGAACTCATTATTTAGGTCAGAGAGTCAGACATACAAAAAGGTAATTACAGTTTAGTTCTGTTATGTATTGTTAACATATGGGAGTGCTATGGAACATAAGAAGTGAATGATTAACTGTGTGGAGAGTCTTAATGTTTTTGCCAGGGATAAAAAGAAGGTGGAGTTCAGGGGTAAGGAGGCTGAGAGGGAACAGGCAGCAGAACAATTTGTGTAAAAGCATGTTTCGGGAAAGCTTAATATGGCAGGTGTATTTAAGAACTCTAGAGTTAGAGTGTAGTATGATAATAGATGACAGTAAGTAGATTGGAACCAGGTTGTAAAAAAGCCTTGTATAATATTCTAAAGAGTACAGACCTTCCCATTAAGCATGAGGAAACCATTGGTAGTTTTTAAGCAAGGATTGTAATATGATTACATTTGTCTAGAGTGGTGATTTTGTGTGGAGGACAGAATACAAGGAGATGGGAATTCTAAAGTCTTTCTAATAGTCCAGGAGGAATCAAGGACGAGGGAATGGAGATGGAGACCTTTCTGATGTCTGGTGCTGTCTTCAGAGGCAATTGACCAAAAGTATGAAATAAAGACATTCTACAGGTTTTTAGATTTTTAGCTTTGTTCACCCGCTGCACCTATCTCACCCCCACCACATACACACATACTCCACACATGGCTATTTGTACTAGCTACCAATGATGCCTACATGCATTCCCTTATGCAATAATCAGTAATTGATCCCCTACTATGTGAGACCATTCTATTTTTTCTAACTATGGTCTAACTTTGGCCTATGGGCCAAAATCAGCTCCTTGCCTGTTTTTTATAAAGTTTTATTGAAACATACACATGTGGCTGGGCACAGTGGCTCACGCCTGTAATTCCAGCACTTTGTGAAGCCGAGGATCACTGGAGGTCGGGAGTTTGAGATCAGCCTGGCCAACATGATGAAACCCCATCTCTACCAACAATACAAAAATTAGCTGTGGTGTGGTGGTAGGCGCCTGTAATCCCAGCTACTCTTAGAGGCTGTGGCAGGAGAATCTCTTGAACCTGGAAGACAGAAGTTGCAGTGAGCCAAGATAGCACCACTGCATTCCAGCCTGGGTGACAGAGACTCCATCTCCAAAAAAAAGAAAAACATACACATGCTCATTTATTTACATATTCTCTGTGGCTGATTTCACTTTACAGTGGCAGAGTGAAGTAGTTCTAGTAGAAACCATGTGGCCTACAAGCCTGAAGTATTTACTCTGGCCCTTTACAGAAAATGTTTGCCAATCCCTGGTCCAAACTAGTTAATTCTTACTAGAAGAAAGAAGGGAAGGTGTCTGTAATAGTTTCTTAAGGACAGTTTATCTTTGGAGAAATAGCCTTACTAGTAAATAATTTTTTGTTTTTTTTTTCAAATCTAGGGTTGTCCTTACTTTTAAGTGACTATGTTCCAAAAGAGGAAGGTAATATTAGGTATTATTAATCAGGGAACGCTGCTTTGGAAATGTGACTGTAAATTGAATGCTTGGTTTTTGGGAGTAGTAATGTTAAAAATGATATGGGAGGTTAAAATGTTAGCCTTGCTGATCTAGATGCAGAAGTATCAAGAACCACCTGGAGAGCTGTACAGCTTTTTCTTTTAATGAAAAAGGGAAGAAAAAAGTCAGAGCAATATAAAGATGAGATGTAGGTTTAAGGAAACTAGAAGGCTAATGTGGCATAATTTGCAGGCCTGTAGGCCAGGTAATCCTGTGACGAGAATATAAGGATACACAGCTAGAGGCCGGCGCGGTGGCTCGCGCCTGTAATCCCAACACTTTGGGAGGCCGAGGTGGATCACTTGAGGTCAGGAGTTCGAGACCAGCCTGGGCAACATGGTGAAACTCCCTCTCTACTAAAAATACAAAAATTAGCCGGGCATGGTGGTACATGCCTGTAATCCCCGCTACTCTGGAGGCTGAGGCAGGACAATTGCTTGAACCCGGGAGGCAGAGGTTGCAGTAAGCCAAGATTGCACCATGGCACTCCAGCCTGGGTGACAAAGTGAGACTCCATGTCAAAAAAAAAAAAAAAAGATACATAGCTAGAGACCAAGATCTGCTCCATACTATTGTACTAAGGACTCATCTCCAACATACTCTTACTTTAAGATTTTTTTTTTTTTTGATGGTGGGTATATTGAGTAATTGAAAGAATGATAGATTTTGTGAATTACATCAGTAGGGTTATCATCTCTGGCTCATGAACTGATGAGTAGGTGGATGGAATATTGTTTTCACTTCTTTGTTTTAATTTCTGTTTCTTTAGGATCTATAGCACAAAAGCTTTCTAAGGCAAAATTGGGTGAGAGGTCTGTGTGTGTTTCCTGGGTTTTTAAAATCTTTCTTTCTTTCAGGTTATCCTACCTACAAAGAAAAAGTAAAGAAAAGGCCTGGAGGCCGCCCAGAAGTGATCTACAACTATGTCCAAAGGCCCTTTATTCGAATGTCCTGGGAGAAGGAAGAAGGAAAGAGTCGGCATGTAGACTTTCAGTGTGTAAAGAGTAAATCTATCACCAATCTTGCAGCAGCTGCAGCAGACATTCCCCAGGACCAGCTGGTGGTCATGCACCCAACTCCACAAGTGGATGAGCTGGATATTCTCCCTATCCATCCCCCTTCTGGCAACAGTGACCTCGATCCTGATGCACAGAATCCAATGCTGTGATGCTGATTTTCCTTGAAACCATAGCATGCTACTCTTCACAGTGACGTTGTACTCTCCTCATTCTGCACTGCAAGGCCACTGTTCTTCATTGTGAGATGCACATAACAATGTTTAGGATATTGCAGTGTAGGCTTTTTTAAAGACCAAAGGTAGCTGAATGGTTTTTTTAAAAATGAGTACAACTCTAGCATTTTGAAGTTCCAGTTATATAAATGTATTTGTTTACCAGTAGGTTTGTGAAATTGGTTCTTTGTATGGGGGATGGTCCTTTTTCACACATCTAGGTCTTTTCAAAAGTGGTGGAAATTGGCAGCTGGGGTACTTTCAGTTTGGATTGATAGTCATCACACCCCAGATAAAATGCAGAGTATTCTATAGTTGCACTTTATAAATGGTGGTTAAATGGAAATGTTCAAGCCATTTTATAGTTGTGATACACAATGTAATTTAAGTGCTTCTGTCAAAGTATTCCTCCAGTAAAAATTGTATAGTTTGCTGCCCGTGATGAGCAAAAAGTATTTATCTTGGGTTTATCTGAATGATCAGGATGAGATTTAATGCCCATATCTTACCAGTGCAGTTATCTCCAGGGCCGGTTCACCCTTTAGAGTGAGTCACATGCAGGGAGTGTGAAAGTCAGAGGTGGTTTATTATCCAGTCTGCCTTACCCTTAATCTGTTCACAGATATTTATTTACTAATGCTTTTTTTTTCTTAAGAGTTATGGGATAGGAAAATGAAGTGTTTGCTCTTCATTTACTAAATGATTGTAAACTTGAGTTTTTCATCAAAATAAAATTCCATTGTTTTAATGTTTCTGACCAAATTTATAACCATGTTGACTAGATTTTTAGTCTCGTAATTTCCCATCCCCCTGGTATAAGTATTATTAGAAATAGCAGCTCAAGGAACTTTAACTTATTATATGTGTGATGAGGCATTTAAATTCCCTACTAATTATAAAATATACTATAAATCAAAACAATATTAGAGCTGAAAAGAGTATTTTCTAGTCCAACTTGATATGAAGGGCAAAATGACTTTACTAGTTCATATAGTCACCCTAAGTTTCAGAGCCAGTTTCTCATACTAGTTCAGTGCTTTTTCCATTATACCATGCTACTTTGCTTAGCAAATTATTTATGCAAATGTTATTCTAAATATTTTGTGGTCCAATTCAAGAAGGAATCAAATATTTAGGTGCCTTAGGACTGGGGTCACTTACTATATAACTGAAGTAGTATTAGAGAGGTGCAGCATTAGAAAAGCCAATGTGTTAAATATAATCTTGAATTTATAATTTCAGAGGATTCGATGTTTGTGTGTAAGCAGTAACATCTTTGCTCTCACATAAATTAAAATTGCAACAATTTAGAAATGAACTATTTTAACAACACAGCTAAGCTAGTAGCATGGGGAAATTATGCAAGCCCAGAATTGCTATGAAGGCCAGAAAAGCACCACAAATTTTACTGGCGTAGATCATCCTTGAACATCCACTGTAGAAACTTATAATCCAGCCCTGCAACACGTAGGATTTTTTTTTTTTCTAATTATTTGAAGTGTGAACAGTATTTATAGAACAAGGGAAACATTTATTAAAAATATTTAACTGTCTAGTACGTTATACTTTAACCCATATTTATAGTAAAGGATTCTTACAAGGAAGAATAAACGGCTTTATGATACAATTAGTATAAGAAATATCCACATGGGGGACTTCTTTGTAGTGTAAAAACACCATACATCTGAAATGACCATTTGCATATAAAAGCTACCAATGATGCTTCTGTGCACAATGATTAAAAAATTCAACACAAACAGAATCCAAAATATACAATTAATGCAAGCTATCCACAGCTAGCCCAATAATCAATGATGAGGAAACACTGGAGCAGGCTTAGTTCCACTTTGTCTGAAGTTACACATAGTAAGATTGACTTGTATCAATGGCTCTGAGATGGCTTTTATGAAGTCAGTACATAAAAGCTATTCTCTCCTTATCCAGTAAGCTTCACAGACTGTAAAACTCCACCAGTAATGCACTTTGATACTATAGCTGTTGCCAAAGCAACATGTAGGGTTTACAGTGGCCATGGCAAGTCACTAAAGTCAACAGGGCCACCCAGTCCAGCATCTGCTTCCAAGAGGCTCATGATGACAGCCATTGCTGCCTCATCATTACTGGGACTACTTGATCCTTGGTCGTTGTCAATCATGTCTATACCTATGTGGGGGTTCTCACCTGTGGGAGGAGATAAAGACAGGTCAGTGACTTTTTTTTTTTTTAAAGCGGATTAAGTAAGCAATTCCTAAGCACACTTTTAATAAGAAAGTTACATTTAATGGTAGGGTGAGAGGCTGCTTTTTGGGCTGCATGGCTATCTTTTTTTATATTGCTGTTTTTCAGAGGAAAGAACCAATTTTTAAAAAATACATAAGACATAAGTGGGGTTAAGTTGTGAAGAGACACAGCTCTAAGGAATCAAATGATCATTTTAGAAATAAGTACAAAGTGCTTAAAATTTAATCTTAAAAATATTTGAGTTCAGCTTATTTTAATATTCTGATATAACCAGTTAAGAGGAGTTACAAAAAGAAAGGCAAATAGGAAGGGAGAGTTTAGGGGAAAAAAACAGATCTAGGAAGACAAGTAGAGAAAAAGATGGATGTGATGGGAAAAGCAAACTCTTTTTCACTTAATGACTTTTAGTACCTTCTGATATGCTTACTAATCACCCTTCTAGGCATTATCTCTGAACCTTCATTAGCCGCCTTTCTGAAGAGATTATGCCCCACATGGGAGAAAGCCTATGTCTAGGTAGCTGTAGCCGCCTCTGGAGTTCCAGGCACAAATTTGGACCTCCACCAAAACTCAAACACTGAAGTCAACTTTTTAGAGAGTTAAACAAATTTTAAACTTTTATTCTGTTCCTATCAAATTTATCTGGGATTAGCTTGTTTCATACAGTTCAGTTCTTAAAACTGACTATGTCAGATGTTTTGCAAGCTCATTGCAATGGAAATGAATAATAATGCCACTTACCAAGAATAGAAGAACTATCAGAATATGGATAACCTGGGTTCTCCTGAGCCTGGCCTGATAGTAGGCCACTGGAAGGAATGTCTGGAGTCCCTCCATTTAAAATCTACAAACAAAAAGAGGGAAGTGTGAAGTTTGAATCAGTATTATGAGCAATGCCAAAAGGAAAATGAAGCATGTTGGAAATGCATGGGGTGGGGTGGGGAGAAGCTTCAAATGGCTTCAGTTTTCTGTTGGATGATTTCAAACAAGGAACTGTTAGACAGACATGGTCATAGTAAGAAAAAAACCTCTCCCCCAAACTGTTCTTTTCTCTTCATTTTAGTGAGCCCACAGAGGCAACTTAGAGGCTGAATAAAATCCCAAGAGCATTCAACTGCCTGGAATCATGATGCCTACATATTTCTTTAGGACCAATGCCTAAATTTCAATGAGCCCAGCTAGGTACTTCCCCTATAAGGGAATAAAACATAGTGACAGATATTTCTGAAGAAGAAATAAGTGGAGTTAACAAACTGTGAAGAGACACAGCTCTAAGGAGTCAAATGAACAAAACACTTAAAAGTAAATCTCTTATACTACAGGTGCCAACTTCAGTAACCTGTGGTTTAAGTTCTTAAGACAGGCCACTGGGGAGGATTATTACTGCTACTCAGTAGGAGAATTCTAATTCTGCCTCAAAATCTCCCCCACTCACCCCAGCTGCCTTCCCCTGGCTGAGTATCAAAGAAGAGCATTCTTTGAGACCTATCTGGATATACATGAGGAAACAGTTTGGTAGCTGCTGCTTTCAGGAGCAGCAGGGATTTCAGGCCTTGCCAGTAGGTGGCATTATAACTTACTTTATTTCCACAGCAATGTTTTGGTCTAGGGACCCTTTTACACTCTTAAAAAAATTATTGAGGACTCCAAAGAACTTTGGCTTATGTAGGCTGTATTTATCAATATTTACTGTATTTGAAATTAAAACTAATAGATTTCTTAAATGTAAGAAACCCACTATATGTCGACATAAATAATGAATAGTATTTTAATGAAAAATAACTACTTTCCAAAAAATAACAAAAAATTATCAAGAAGGGTATTATTTTACATTTTTGCAAATCTAATGTGTGGCTTAATAATTTTCAACTGGATTCTCATATATGTTTTTCCATTCAGTCTATTTAGATACGTCTTGTGATTCAAGTATATGAAGGAAATCCAACCTCCCACAGATAAGTAGTTGGAAAAGGGAGGCATATTTTAATAGACTTTTCAAATAATTGTATTCTTTTTTGATACCACTTCAAAACTTGACACGTAGAAGTTTCTTAAAGGTGAGTTGCAAAGTGGAATCTGAAACCGTATCAATGAATTTTTTGTACTCTTTATATCTTTGCACTTAGATCTTTTACCCTTACATGATTTTGAAATATCTTGCATCGTTTAGTTAGAAAATATTGGTTCATTGAATTATGCATATCTTCTATATGTTGACACATTTCATTATACAGCATCAAAATATCACCATTGTTAATACTTCCTATCTCATCAACATTTTTTAAGTTTTAGGAAGATCTCAAGGTCAAAGTAGCAGATACAAGTTTTCTAAAAATTCCAATTTTTGCTTGAAAGCTCACATTTTATCATTGGCAACAAATGTTGTCAGTCATTTTCCTTGAAATGATAGGTTCACTTCGTTCATTTCCAAAAAAATGTATTCTAAATACACAAAACTGAATGACCATATACAATAAAAATGGTGTCCAATGAAAATAGCAGCTAGTTCAACTCACAACTTAATCACACAAGTAGTTTTTGAGACAAACATCATACTTTGGTATGCAGCACAAGTTCTTTGTGTGTACTTCTCATTTTGTCACAGAGCATTAAAAAGATGTGTACTTGAGAATTTTATAAAAGTAATGATGGACATTTTCCCTCCCTCCTTCCCTCCTTGACAGGGTCTCACTCTGGTTGCCCAGGCTGGAGTACAGTGGCACAATCTCAGCTCACTGCAGCCTCAACCTCCCGGGCTCAGGTGATTCTCCCACCTCAGTCTCCCGAGTAGCTGGGATTACAGGTACACCACCACACCTGGATAATTTTTTGTATTTTTTAGTAGAGATGGGATTTCTCTATGTTGCCCAGACTTGCCTCGAACTGTTGGACTCAGTTTGCCTGCCTCAGCTTCCCAGAGTGCTGAGATTACAGGGGTGAGTTGCTGCACCTAGCCACGATGGACAATCTTAAATGAAACTGGCTTTAAACTTTTTTTTTTTTTTTAATCGCAAGTGTGTGGTGGTGAAGAATACAGTGACTACTAGTATAGTTTGGTGCCACTTGTCTGATTTTGGTAAAATGCCAGCAGTTTTACCCAACAGTGCTTTTAGCATGAATAGTGCACATTATCAATACAGTGAAAAAATTAATGTCTTAACATTATTAAGAAAATAGCTTTAACGTTGCAGACCCTTAAAAGGATCTTGTGCCCCCTCTTTCTGGAAAAAGACTGCAGGTGACATTTGTAGAAGTGCTGCTTTATCTGAATTTTCCTTAATGCTTCTGGATGTCTGTACTCTCCTGGACCTATGGAGGCTCACTTAGGCTTCCTTTTTAGCTTGATCCTGACTGAAACAACTTCAGGCAAAATGGTTCGTTTTTGGACCTTCCAAATTTGAAAGTGACTGGAAAGGGCTGGGTACGGTGCACCATTTAATACTGCTGTCAGTTTTAACTGTCTTGTTTAAGCTGCTTTTCTTGTAAGTTCTGCTGCCCAGGATTCATCTCATGAGAACACATCCAAATTTCTTCTCACAGATTCATTTTATAATCCATTCTTCCCAAAGAAAAGGAAGAAGTTTCATAAGTGCCTCAAAAATAGCTGGAGCTTTATGATGCAGAGCGCAGCTTTTGATTGCTGGTAGTTGTTGATGTGAAAAGAATTGGAAGTCATGAGCCCAGGATTGTAGTTTCGGGCCATACTTATAAAACGAACACTGAGAAGCCTGGATCTTGTCACTATAATGTTGTGAAGGTGAGATGAGACAATGTATATGAAAGTTCTTTGAGTAATATTTAAGCCTATACTGGACTGATAACCTTTCAAAACCAAGTAGTAGAATCCCTGGTAATACCAGGAGTCAAGTAAAGTACCTAAAAGTTAACTTGAGAAGCAGAGACTGGAAGACCACCCTAAGAAGATGGTGGATCCAATATGCAGGAAGGACCTGGAGGTGTAACAGAAGGACAACTAAGAAGACGGCTGGCAAGCAGTGCGTGTGTTAGGGGCAAGGGGACGAGGGGCACAGGATGCCAAACCCAGACATCACCTGTCAATGGGTATTGTGAGCCAAGCACTTCCACATATATTATCTCATAATAGGACCTCATGTGCAAAGATGCTGGCTACCCTAACCAGTATTAGCTCCATTATAAAGAAAACTAGGGCTTGAAAGTTGTACAAGTTCATATAACTAGCACATGGCAAGGCCAAGCTTCGAACCCAGGTCTTTCTTTCTTTGTAGTCTTACCCATTAATTTGTTGACTTTCAACCTTTTTGAGGGGAGCAAAACCCTTTTTCAAATAGAAATGTTTGCAGAAGATTCCTATATAAAAAAGAAGTATTGCTGCCCTTGCAGAAGCAGGATTTCTGCCCTTACCTTCTCTCCTTAGCAACTACCCCCACACCCATCCCACCTGGTAACACCACAGCTCTTGGTAACCTGAACAAACCTCCGGGGAGCTCAGTTTTGAAAATCCTTGCCCTGCTTTTGATGGTTTGTGCCCTAGGAATCCTGCCTATAGAAATTCCTAATATTCTCTCTCTCTATGTGTTTTAGGAGATGGGGAGGGAAGCCATTGTGTCCAAAATGCTGGCGTTTAAACTGTCCTAAGCTCTACTGACATCAGGCAGTATAAACAGATTTATGATTTACGATTAACGTGGGCCTAGGCTTATAAGTTCTCCGGCAAAGATGAAAACAAATGACTGGTTCCTAAACCTATTTATAGTGTAGTCTTATAGAAAGCTCTTCATGAGGGCTGGTGATTGATCCACTGCTTGGATCCAATGCTGTCACACCACAGGAACCTCCAGGCAGCAGATCCCCAGTATTCTGCAGCTATAAAGCATGGCTTGATTTCCAAAGCAGTGTGGTGGCACTGCTGTTTCCATTGCCTGCCCTAGACACTAATATTTTCTCCCTTGAAAACTCCTGGCAGATAATGAGAAACTTTTCTATGTGAGGTACTCAGTAATCTTTCCCTCATGGGAACTCTTAAATTTGCTCCCTCAATTAACTGAACTGACAGTTCCCCATTCCTTATTCTTTCTCCCTTCTTCCACTCACATGGAAGAAAGCCTCTGAGGATGCCAGCAAGCCTCCCTAGCCCTACCAGTATGCTTTGTATCCAGCCTCACACAGATGGATTTACTTCAAGGAGGAAGTAGTCCAACTTGTCTCAGCAGTCACAGTTGCAATTCCATACTCCCACCCCCAACATTTCAGATCTTGGGCAAGAGGCTCTCTAGCTTAGGCTAAGAGTCATCAGTCTTACCTTCTTGCCTCCTGGAGAAGAGGCATCAGGGGGAGGCGTACTCGTGATGTTCAGTGGGCTGGAGCCACAGCTAGAAGGCGATGACCCTCTTATCCTGTCAGAAAAGAGAATTACACTGCCTTTTCTTTTTTCAGTGGAGTGTGTGTGTTTTGTTAAGGGGTAAAGGTGAGAAAGGGGATGAAGATCTAGATTAGGGTTTGGCAAGCTTTTTCTGTAAGCCCCAGATAGTAGGCTCTCTAGGTCATACAGTGTCTGTCACAAAAGGTCAACTCTGCCTCTGCAGCTTGAAAGCAGCCACAGTCATGAATCGGTGTGGCTGTGTTCCAGTAAAACTTTATTTACAAAAAGAGGTGACAAGCTGGATTTGTTCTGCAGGCACCGAATGCGGTCCCTAGAGTCAAGCATCTGACTGACAAAGCCCTTGGATTGGAGTTTGCATTCAGTTGGTGAATTTCAAGTAAGTGGCCAGTTTTATTTCCTCACAGAATCCAGGTGAATTGGAGGAGGCCTTCTAAGATCAACCTGCATCTTTGATCCACAGCAAAAAATTTATCCCCTTCTCCACAAACACTGTTTAGCTAGTGAATACTCTCAGGACATGGAGGGCACCAGGCTCTAAAAGGTAGCCTAGGAGTAGTGATAGTAAGAGCAGTCTTCGAAGGCAGTGGTTGATGAAAAATGGGTCCAGGACTTTCTTATCTAGCATATCTCTCAGAAGATTTATAGAAGGGAAGACTTAGAACTGTAAATCCACCTAAACACTTGTCAGGCTGAAGGACCTCAGGAAAGAATCCATCACTTGGCATTGCAGCTAGAGTTAAGGGAGAGTATGATGGCAGTTGTGTAACCACAGGGCTCTCAGCTCCTACATGGATGAATGCAGCTTTTGGGTGACCCAGAGACCACTCCTCCACTGCCCAGAAGTCCTTTGGTTCTTGTATTGCCTAGTTCTCTAGATTTGAGAGTGAACAAGTTTTCTTTCTGGATTATAAGCTTCTTAACGGCAGTTTACAACTACGTATCATGTATTCTCAGCATGCACAAATAGCTGCTAATTGCTTACGGAAAAATTGCTGAGTGTCCCCCACCTTTCCCTACTTATGTCTATGAAACCACTGTTTTCCCAGGTTTCTCATCTTGGAATTGCTGTTTCATCATTCCTGATTTAATCTTCAAACGCTAGACCTTAGATTACTGATTTCTCTTTTGGCAGTGTCATCTCTGTCGGATAAGGCCTCATTCCTGGGTTATCAAACATGCCCACCTTCATCTCTCCCTATTCCAATGCAACTTCCACAAAGCGTAATACAAGACTTTGGATGCTTGTTCAGCAACCTACAACAAATGGGGTCTTACAGGTTTCTTCCAGTCCAAACTGCATAGTATCATTTCTTGGGTTTCTTAATCTCCCATCATAGCTTTGTGTCTCCTTCCTACACAAAACCTGCCCAGTTAGGTAGCTTGTTTCTTGACCCTGAATTTGCCACTCACATGCCCACTCAAGAATATCCCTGACTCTTCTAGAGGGAACATCCACTCTCATTGCAAACCCTGGCTAAGGCCAAGTTCAGATCTTTCCTCCTTCACTTGCTTTGGCCCATGCACTCTCCCTTTTTCCTGTTATCATAAAGAAAATAGACTTCTAAAAGATTTTAAAATTCTTGAGGTCAAGGACTGTTTGATACTGTTCTTGGATGGTCTCAAGCAAAGTATAGCGTATGCAAATGCAAAGTACAGGGTTTGAACCTGATTACACTGCACACTACCCTCATATCTCCTTCCTGATGCAGAGGTCACACCCACTAACCCTGTGGGGTTGGAAGAGAGCTGTGTTACCTATGGGGATAACAGCCCCTTTATGGGCCAATTGGAAAACAGGCCAGCCTCTAATTCTCCTGACAGAATCCAGTGGCAGCAGTTTTTTCTTCCTTTTCTTATTATTATGTTACATTAAGTTGCATTCTGAAGAATCTGGTTACCACCTTCTCTATTCCCCAAATTTGGACAGACTTATGATAACTGCGTCCCTCTCAATGACTGCTCTTAAAGACAGATTTAATTAATTTTTAAGCACTCACTATATGTCAGGCTATGTTCCTGGAGCTTTCCTGAGTGCCCTCACAATCCTAACACAATTCTTGGGAAACAGTGCTTTCTTTTTATGGTTTAAGTCAACAGACAGCAAGAGGTGAAGTAAGTCTCAGCAGAGCCAGGTAGAGAGACAGGCCCAGGACTCACACGCAGGTGGACTGTTCCTAAGCTCCTTCTCTTTCATGTGGAGAGAAAGTCTCTCCCAAGACAGCTAGTAATAACTAGCTGATCTGCTTGGTCTCTAGTACTAATCCTGGGCAGCTCTTTGATTGAAAAAAAAAAAAAAGAATGTTCTGTTAAGGTCCAGATCACTCTGATAGTTCACAGCTCTACTCCTGCATTCCTGTAAAGTAAAGGTACATCTGTCCGCACTGGGAAGCTCCCTGAGCCATAAGAAAGTCTCCTCAATAATTCTCTTTAGCTCTGGGCTGTTTTGGTTTAGCATCTTTATTTAAGGCAGGATTTCTTTGTTGGGTGGGGAGCGGGGAACTGTCTTATTTACTATAGGATGTTTAACAAGCAGCATCTCTGGTCTCTATTCACAGGATGTTTAAGTAGCAACCTCCCACCCAGTTGTGAAGACCAAAAATGTCTCCTGACATTGCAAAATATCCCCTGGGGGAAAAAATTTCCCTGGGTTGAGAACCACTGGTTTAACAGAGGCACTAGAAGGTGTTACTTGCCTGTGGATTTCCATGATTTCCTCAGCAATCATTCGGCCTATTTTTCCTGCCCCAGCCCGGGTTCCCCCTGGAATCCCTGGAACAGTGGGGTGGGTCCTCTTTGGGCCACCTACAACAAAGGAATCTGAGAGTAGGAAAGGGGAAAACTGAGGAAGAAATACTATTATATATTAAAGTAAAACCAGTTTATCCCATGATCCACTTGCATTTCAACATCAGAGTTGTGCCTTGAGGGACTTTAGGGCTACAGCTTGTCAGGAAAAGGCATTCCAGCAGGGAAAGGCTCGTTTCCTTCTAGGATCTGAGGCTAGTTTTTTCCCTTCATGCAGCATCTAATTCCCTTCATGCACTGAAAAAAACATTTATTGAAGACCACTGTATGTGCCAGGGTTACAGAGACAAGTCCCTGCCCTCAAGGAGCTCACAGTTTAACAGGGAAACCAACAGGATGAACACAATGGCTAAAGCAAAATGTCGTAAGTTTGACAGGCAAGCACAAGGCAACCAACTCATCTGGGGCCAGGTGCAGCTTCTGGAACAAGTTCACCCTGAGCTGAGTCTTGAGAGATGAGTATGAATTAGCTTGGCAGAGAGGTAAGGAGGCGAAAGCATTCCAGGCACAGCAACCAACACGTGCAGGAGCACTGAGGCAGATTAAAACTTGGGAGACTCCTCCAAGGAATTCATCATGAATGATGATGAGAGCATGATAGATGAAACTGGGGCAGCAGGTACCAATCCGATCATGAGGAGCCTCTTGGATGCCGTACTAACGAATTTGGACAGTTCCCACAAGCGAATGAGGAGTACCAAAGGACAATACACAGAAAAGGCACAAATGAGATCTGGGTTATTAGAAAGTCCACGGCAAGGAGAATGAACTACAATGGAGGATGGGGTGGGGAGAGTGGGACTAGAGTTGCAAAGTGATTTGCAGTGATCCAGGCAGCAGATGAGGAGGGTGAAATAGCAACAGTGGTGATGAAGTTTAAGAGATAGAAGGTTCAGGACTCTGTGTTTGGATATAATGGGGGAGAGACAGCAGCCAGGTTTCTGGCTTAACCAATCAGGTTGGGGAGTGCAGAAAATCAGCTTGGGATATTCTGAATTTCAGGTGCCTCTGGGAATCCAGGTGATTCTGTCTATGAGGCATTTGGAGAGACAGATCTGGAGCTTGGGAGAGAGACTGGGGCTGGAGATATGGATGTGGGAATCATCGATGGAGATGACTGATGGAGTCATTGATGGGGGCAGCAGCCATGCATGTGGGGATGGTCCCAGGAAGGATGAGTCCAGTGTGGACAGCAGGGACAGGGCCAAGGCTGAGCCTGAGAAGGGAGCCCACTGGGTATGGTACACACCCCAGTGCCGAAAGACACCTTCCTGCCAACCACAGGAGCCAGTGACAGTCACCAAAGAGCACTTCACCTCATGGCCACTAGGCAACACAGGAGGAAAGCACAAGGGGAGTAGGAAGTTTGCAAGCTCAAGGGCTTCCAGGGGCTGGCAGCTTTGGGAAGTGCATCAGTGAGCTCCTAGTATTCTGGCTCAACAGAAAGTGACATGACAGTGTCCTCGGCATTCATGGGGAAATCCACACATCATCCCCTCTAGACCTCCCTTGTTCCACAGAATATGAATGGAGGGGACCCTGAATACTTTAGGGGAGGATATTTGACCACAAGCAGCTTCTCACGGACAAGTCCCAGGGCCCCAGCAGCACATAGTTACCTTCTCCAGAGGGCAGCATGCTGTCCATGCTGTGGGGGGATGCTGTGAGCTGTGGGAAGGTTGGGTCCGCGCCTTCCAGGACGTTGGCTCTGTGAACATCCCAGCAATAAGGAAACGTGAGTCAGGCCTGCTCAGAACTGTGAACCTTTCAACTTGGCCAAGGTGTCCGGTGTCCACTCTGGACCTGGACAGGCCAGAAAATGAAGTGTGTGTCTGAGTGGGAGAACAGGTCTCACTGTTTGCATCCTGGCCTTTGGCCCCACTGCCTGCCTGGGCCTGCCTAATATGTCACAGTTCAGCAGAGGTGGTGGCTGCAGTAACCACTGCCAGCACTATAGCACCTCCTCCTGCCAGCCTGCAGTGCACCTAGCCCTGGCCCCTCACGCAGCTCTAACGATAGGTGGGGTTTTGGACACTATGGGGAAGGAACAGTGGAGAGCAGGCCTGGCCGAAGAGAGGCTCCTTCACCTCCCTCTGCTCCTCTAGCAGGTAGCAGCCTTTTGAGATGGCATTCCAGCTGCCAGTGCTTGGACCCCCTGCCTGATAGATCCTCAGCCAAGGCCAGTGTGAGCTAGTGCCTGTATGAGCCTTTCATAGATCGTCAACCCCTTCCTCCACAGCAGCACAAGTGGATGTCTAGAGTGCAGGGCCTGTGCAATTCAAAGGTTAGCTGCTTTATCTGGAAGGAAATGTTGCTGTTTCCTGGAGCAGTTTCATAAGCCAGGGCCTGCACGGTACAAGTACTGAAGCTTGTCCTTTGCTAACAATCCTTTCTAGCTTCTGCCAGTCCTGAGGCTTCACAGGTATTAGCAAGATGGCATTAAAGGATGTGATACTGGATGTTGCCTGCACCCCATTTTCTAGATAAGGAGCCCTAGGCATCTCTTTGAAGCAAGGGGAGCTTCAGATATAGGAAAAGTACTTACAAAACAACAGTGTTAGTGGAGACAATATATTCTACTTCCTTGGTCCAAGGGTTCATGAAACTGAACCATCGACTCCGTAGTGTGATAAAAGAACCATCTTTGATTTTAAATTTATAGCAATTAGTTGTAATTTTTTCTCTCGTCTGTAAAACTGAAAATGTAAAAAAAACATGAACATTGTTGTTTTCTCAGATGAAAGTATTAAACAGGACATCCAATACAAAATAGTAAAGGTACCTGAGCAATGACATCGCTCTTTAGTAAGCCAAGGAAACCCCAATGGTCAACACTCAGGAAACAGGTTGTTTCTGAGGGTCTAACTCAGAACCTTTCAATTCATTTGTGAAGCTGTCACAATTTTCCATAGTCTGTAAAATTGAGGCTCTAGGGAATTACTGACTGCATGTTATATATCTAACTGGAATCAGCTCTAACATGACCACCAGCAAATGAGAAGGCACTGTCCAAAATGTCATGCTTTATCCCAATCACAAAGCCCGAGGGCAATACAGAACTTATTTGAAATAAGAACATCCAAATCGACAGAGGCCACTCACCTATTCAACCTCATTCTTTCATGTAATAAACATGTAATGAGCACTTCTCATGTGCCAGGCACTGGAGATACAAGAGGAGACAGGCTATGACTCCTGCCCTCAAGAAAAGGAGTGAGGGAAGGCTATACAGGAGAAGAGATCAGAGCCTTGAGGGATGAACACGAGTTTGCCAAGAGAAGGAGGGAGAGAAGAACCCAGCAGTGCCTGAGGAGCAGCAGGGTCTGGTCGGGGAGGGGCCAGTGAGAAGGTCAGGGTGCCTGGAGCACAGGCCTCTGTAGGCAGGGATGGGGACTGAAACTGAGGAGGTGGGCTGGGGCCAGGAGGTGGAAAGTCTCACATTTGAATGCCTGTCAAAAGCGTTTGGGCTTGAGTCTAAAGCAGGAGGTTTTTAAGCAGGCTGATGTTATCAGTCTCAATCTATCTGGGGATGATGGGGATAAATGGGATAACTATGGAAGATGAACTGGGGGTGAGAGGGAGCAGGGAAACGCTGAGAAGTCTATCATGGGTCTCTAGGTAGGCACAAGAGCCTGAACCAGGGTGATGGCAGTAGGGGTGGTAAAAAGTAGACTTTTGGAAATGCATTTCTGAGGTGAATGAACAGGATCTGGTGGAGACACAGTAAAAGGAGTCAGTGTTGGTCTCTCTCAGGAGGCTGCACATGGAGCCACAGTATTAGTCAAGAGAGAAAGTACAGGAGGTAGTGCAGGCTTGAATGGAAAAGAGAATCAGATCAGTCTCGGCCGTACTAAATCCAGGGTCTGGGAAAACCCTCTGAACAAGAGATGTCTTTTAGAAACTGCCATGCAGTCAGCACAGGGCAACTACAAGGGGATAAACAGTGCCTGCAGGCAGCAGTTCCCTCTTCACACAGATGTTCTGACCTGAAGAGTCCTAGGCTGGCTGAGTCCTACATCCTCAGTGGACAGATTTCCCTGGAAGGTCATGTGGACTAGTCTAGAAGCAAGGGGACACTTTAAACTTAAGATCTTTTATACATCCTAGCTTACCTTGCCTATGACATTCTGCAAGATGTCCTATGTCATCTTGGTGAAAGTATTCATAACACGATGTGCCTAGAAGTTCTTGTGGTAAATATGCCAAAATAGCTGTTGCCCTAAAAGGGAATAAAGGAATATTTAAAGAAGAAAAAGCCATTCAGACGATTAATTGCAACTTTGCAATGGATAAACCCTGCTACAGCCTATGAGAGCAAGGTCAAAGCTGTAAACAAAAGAGCTGGATGGATTTTCAGAGGGCTCACTGTGTGGATCTTTTTTTTTCAGGCATCTGAATTTAATCAAAGCTATAAAAATAGAGGGAAACAAAGCAAAGAAGCTTTGTAAAGGGACTATTATCACAAGAAATCAAATCTGAGGGGGCTTTAAAAATGGTAAGCAGTCAGGCACAGTGGCTCATGCCTGTCATCCCAGCACTTTGGGAGGCCGAGGTGGGCAGATTGAGCTCAGGAGTTCAAGATTAGCTTGGGCAACATGGCGAAACCCTGTCTCTACCAAAAACACAGAAAAATGAGCTGGGTATGGTGACACACATGTATGGTCACAGCTACTTGGGAGGCTGAGGTAGGAGGACTGCTTGAGCCCGGGAGGTCAAGGCTGCAGTAAGCCAAGATCTCGCCACTGCACTTTAGCCTGGGTGACAGACTGAGATCCGTCTTTTAAAAAGGAACTACATTAATTAGATTAAAATGTGGTATAAATCTAAATCTCAGTGCAAGGCTTCTGGTTTTTGCTGCCTCCTTTTTATCAGGACAACCAAATGCCAGAAGCTGCAGCAGCTGAGGCCACAAGACAGCTGAGGCTGTCTCCTTTTCCAGCATGTTGTGGCTGTCTCTAGTAGCCAGAAAAATTATTAGCCTATGCATATTCTGAAGGAAAGCAGTAGGCAGCAGTAAATTTGGGACACCTGGGTGCTTGGTCCAGGTCTATTACCAATTAGTTGTGAATCCTACAGGAGACCAGTCCCCAGGCTGGGCCTCCGTTCTTCATCCATAAAATAAGGAGGCTGGATTAGATCAAGGCTGTCCAACAATAATTTCTGTGATGAGGGAAATGTTCTATGTCTGTGCCGTTAGCCACATAGGAGGCTACCATGGACAATGAGTATTTTATTGGACAACTCAGGACGAAATAATTGCTTCCAAGTCCTAGATTGAAAAGAATTTCAATCACAATAATGGTCCTGGAACATTCCATAGATTCAGACAGCATGCTATCCCTACTATTTTTCTTTCAGCCATGGACATCAAGGCACTCACTTAACTGTCTCTATATGCCAAAGAATGACAGAAAAATCTCTGTATTTATGATGATATCCTATTGAATCTCATTTTTTTTTTTTAACAGAGACTCACATCACTTGTCTCTTTCTTTTTTTTTTGAAACAGGGTCTCACTCTGTTGCCCAGGAGGAAGTGCAGTGGTACAATCACAGCTTACTGCAGCCTTGATCTCCCAAGGCTCAGGTGATCCTCCTGCCTCAGCCTCCAGAGGGTTGGGACTACGGGTATGTGCCACCATGACTGGCTAATTTTTGTATTTTTAGTAGAGACAGGGTTTTGCCATGTTGCCCAGGCTAGTCTCAAACTCCTGGGCTCAAGTGATCCACCCGCCTTGGCCTCCCAAAGTGCTGGGATTTCAGGTGTGAGCCACTCCACCCAGATTTGTTTCTTTCTTTCTTTCTTAGAAAAGCCAGCTGATGGCCCAGTCTTCTCTGCTTTTTAGATCAGGGTTGAAAATCCTCTACCATCATTGCTCAAGAGTAGTATGTAGACTCTTACCTCTGGTCTACAAAAACAAACTTTCCATCTATCGCGTGCCGAGAAACATATTCCATAGATTTCACCCTGATTTCCCCATTCACTGGTTGTGGAACTACATGAGAATGCAGTCGTCCAATTGCAACGAGGCAGCTGAGGTTACACCCCTCATTGTCTGGTTCATTGTCTTCATCCAGCCCCATCTTTGTGGGTGGCCAGCTTTTCAAATAGCCTGTGCTGTGGATTGTGCAGAAGCTTTTTCGATCTGCTAGAAGGCAAAGTTTGTGGTTAGTGTCAGCACTAGGTTTGGGTCATAGAGGTATACGCAGCCGATGGTGGGGTGGGATGTAGGTAGGGAGTAAAAAAAAAAAAAAAAAAAAATCAATGCTTCTCTCTCCAGAAGTGAGCATCTAGTGAAAGGGGTAGACAGAAAGAAAAACAAAAACTGTCATCCAGTGTCAGTATGCTTAAGTAGGGCCAGTTATACCATGGGCATTCATTACATACACCAAGGAAGTAACTCTTTCTGGGGAAAGGAAGGCTCCCCCAAAAAACCAGTGGAGGAGGTGGGTCAAGAAGGATGAGCAGTGGCTGAGGGACTAGAATGTATAAAGGCTGAGGACATACAAAGGCACAGAGGAACAGCCTATATAGGAATGGCCAAGAGCTCTGTGTGGTTGAAGTGAAATTGGAGGTACTGGGAGTGAGGGGCAAATTGGAAAGGCAGGTTGGGGGAAGATTAAAAGGGCCATGGATCACTTGCTAACCAATATGTTGGTCTATTTTTTTTTTAAGGCAGGAGATGGAGAGCCTCTAAAGGTATTTAAGTGCAGAAATAGCAAAATCAAATTGTGGTTTGGATGCTGTAGGAACAGAGTGATGTGTGAACTGGAAGAGAGTAGAAAACACAAGTAGGAATGCTAGATCAGGGGCCAGTGGCTATAATACAGCAAGAGATGAGCAGGACTGAACTATGGCAGTGCAGTGAAGATGAGAGGGAGCAGAGAAAGGAAGCAGGAGAAATTTCTGAGATCAAACTATTGGGATTTGCTATGAATATCAGGCTTAAGGGAAAGAAACAAATGAAGATGACTCCAACTTTTCTGGATTGGGTGGTTGCTGGTGTCATTCACTGACTCAGAGAGGAGAGAAAACAGACCAGCAGAGAGAGAGAAAAAAAAGATTTTGATTCGGGACACATTAAGTGTAGAGCACTTATAGACTTCACCAACAAGCAAGCCACTATGGAGTGTCTGCCAAGCGTGGAGTCTGTGCTGGTTACTGGAATAAGAGTGAAAAACAAATCAGACATGCCCTTGTGGAGTTCACAGCCTAGTGGGGAGACAGACTTTAAACAAATAATCACACAAATAACTATATAACAGCAAGTACAAGAAAGCACTAGAAAGCAAACCAGCAGGGTGCTATAAGACATAAGGCAGTCTGAGGTTGGAGACAGCCATGTGAAGGGAGCTTATGGGGAGAGGGAAGAAATTCCAACCAGGAAGCGACAGTATGTGCAGAGGCATTGCCCAGAAAGGGCTTGAGGCATCAAAGGAAGTCAACATGGCTTACATGTGCTTAGTGGCAGGGTCAGGGGCTGCATGGTCACGTTAAATATTTTGAGCTTTTCTTCAAGAGCAATAGGGAACACTGAAGGGTTTTTAAAAGGGGACTGATAAAAAGATCATCCTGGCTGCTGTGTTGGGGGTGGGGAACATGTGCGTCTACACTTTCGACCTGGTGAGAGTTGGGGGCAGCTGGGAGCTGAGTGACAGTAGGCAGCATGGAAAGGGACAAACATTTCAGAGAACTTTTGCAGATGGGACTCTCTGTGGCAGGATTTCATAACTAATGGGACTGAGGAGTGGGGTGGTGAGACAGAAGTGAGGGTGCCTCCCCAGCTTCTAGCATGAGCAGCCAGCTGGATGGCAGTGCCATTTATGCTGGAGGAGAGGCTCAGGTGATTACTTCGGCATGTATCCTGTTGGAGATTCCCCTGAGATATCCAAGCAGGTTGATTTAGTAAGCAGTACATTTATGAATATGGAGTTCAAAAGAGAAGTCTAGGCTGGAAATATGAATGTGGAAGTTGTTGGCATTTAAAGCCAAGGGAGTAGATGATGTGACCTACAGAGAGAGACTGCAGACAGAGAAGCAGCCCAGGACAGAGAGGAGCAGCCAGCAAAGGGGCCAGCAAGAGAGCCTGTAGCAGCAGGGGGTCGAGGAGGAGGAAGAATGTGGTTTCATGGAATCAAGGGAAGAGAACACTTCAAGAAGGAAGACAAAGGAAAAGTGTGCATTCCATTTAACAATATGAAGGTCACTGGTGAGCTCAGAGTAATTTTGGTAGACTGGTGGGTGTTCGTGAAGCAGTTAGGATTGTGGCTGAGAGTATTCTTCCTCAATCGCATTAAAAGAAACACAATTTAAACAGAGGAGTCCTCTCCACAAATCTCTGCCATCGGGCTTTTCAGCTCTCTCCTCTGCTCCCAACTGCCCTACACACAGGGAGGGGAGGACTGCAGGGTACCGGCTGCAGTTCTGGGACCTGCCACTCTGGCCAGCCAGAAACCACTGAACCAATGCCCTGCTGAGAGCTCTGCTGTAGAAAGCAAGCTTCACCTGTCACAGGGTTTTAATTGTTACCTTTTTTCTTTGAGCAGGTAGAGGGGAAGTCCTTGTCTTCAACCTTTACTGAAGGCCTGTTACACTTCATCCTACAGAAGAAAGAACGTCGTGCTCCAGAACATAATCGAGATGGCCCAGGGGTTATATCTGTTTTAACTGGAAGTCCAGCTGCAAATCAATACACAAAATGTGATAAACTGAGAGCAGTGTTGTCTGTCAGGAGGGGGAGTGTGACCTTGAGCAAAGCCTTTTCTTGCCTGCCTCACTGTTTTATAATGATGACATGAGACAAATACCTCCCTAGTTTAGGCTTTAACAGATGCAGCATGGATAGGTGTGTTGTCAGTCTGGAAATGTTTATAAATCACATACATGTGCTACTAAATAAATTGATTAGGTACTCTGGGGATGAAAAGAAATATACTATGGGGTTCTTGCCCAACAGAAACTTATGGCTGGCAAAGGGGAAATGGACGTGCACCAAGAAAAGATTAATAATAGGACAGGGTGATATAAGATTAGTGCCAAATAAATGGCAAAGACAACCTGTGCTTCCCAGAGGAGAAAGAACTTGGCCTGGCACCGAAGGATGAGTAGGATATGGATATTGGGAAGGAAAGGAGGGAGCAGGACTGCCTTAAGTTCTCAACCTGGCTTGTAGGCCAGAATCCCCTGGATGCGTGATCAACCTACAGATTCCTGGACCCCACTGTAGATCTGTGCTGTCCAATGCATTAGCCACTAGCTGCATGCAGCTACTGAGCACTTGAAATGTGGCTTTTCTAAATTGAAATGTGCTGTAAGTGTGAAATACAGGATTTCAAAGACAGTACAGAAAAATAAAAGAATGTGAACGAACTTATTGTTTATAATTATTACATGCTGAAATAATATTTTGGAGTTAATTTTACACTTATTTTTATTTTTAAAATCTGGCTACCAGAAAATATAAAATGACACATGTGGCTCATGTTTGCGGTTTGCATTATGTTTCTATTGGACTGTGCTGTCTGGAAAAACCAAATTAGAATGTCTGGGGGTGGAGCATGACTATGTTGAAAAGCTCCCAGGTGATTCTGAGGTGCACACCTCCTTACCAAACACTGGCTAGGTGTCAGTACAGAAGCCGAGGGAAAACACACCCATGGCCATCACGCGAGCAAGTATGCCAAGGAATGGCCGCTGCCCAGGGCTCCTTCTGGGCTTCCTCCCCTCCCATCTACCTCCCACATTGCCCACTCTGCGATCTCCCCTAGAATGCCAATCCAAGCCTGCCACACCCAACTCAGAGCTCTTCACTGTGTCCCCACAGAACAAAAGGTCTTCATGCTTCAGCCCTTCCCCTCCCCGCATGTTTTGTCCAATAGCACCAAGCATGCCACGTGGCTCCACACCCCTGCACCTGTCCACAGATGATGTTTCCTCTTCTCTCTTCCTCCCTTCATTACCTGGCAAACATTAATTCATCTTTTCAAACCCACCTCGGTTGTCATCTACTCAGTGATGCCTGTCCTTGCGCCCACATGAGAATTAATCATCCGTTCTCTACGCCTGGCACTATTTCTATGGCTGCACCTATTACTATGCAGGGTGCTGTCTGTCTCCTCGTTTCTCTGACTATATGCTAAGAGCCTCAAAGGTAAGGACCAAATGCCATTCATATTTTTCTCCTAAAGTCACTAAAAAAATCCAAGGCTAGACTATAAAGGACAACAGATACCAAAGTCTGCACCTTACTTTTAGGAACAAGAGGAGTGCTGTAATGAAGATGATTTGAAGGAGATTCCTCTGGTGGTGTTTCTTTCCAGGGATTAACATGGGCAGCTTGGGGGCAGGACATTAGTTAGGCCATGACTGCACTGGGCCAAGGTGAATGCAATACTGATACTGTTCTCGCTATGTGCTAGGAACTGTTCTGCCTACTTTATATACATTAACACTTTCAATCCTCACAACAACCCAATGAAATAGGTACTCTTCCATAAATGAGAAAACTGAGACAGAGAGAGGTTAAGTAACTTGCTCAAGGTCACACAGTTAGTGAATGGTGGAGCTGGAATGAGCCCAGTAATCTCCCTTGTGTTCTCATTCCTTTTTTATTTTTGAGACAGAGTCTTGCTCTGTCACCCAGGCTGGAGTGCAGTGGTACGATCTCGGCTCACTGCAACCCCCACCTCCTGGATTCAAGAAACTCTCCTGCCTCAGCCTCCCAAGTAGCTGGGATTATAGGCATGCACTGCCACACCTGGCTAGTTTTTGTATTATTAGTAGAGACAGGGTTTTGCCATGTTGGCCAGGTTGGTTGCAAACTCCTGACCTCAAGAGATCCACCTGCCTTGGCCTCCCAAAGTGCTGGGATTACAGGTGTGAGCCACCGCACCCAGCCAGAGTCCTCATTCTTAACTGTAGGAGTGCACAGCCTCCCACAGGACTAAAGTAGATGACAGCTACTGGGGCCTTGCACAGGAGTGTGTGCAGTAGCAGGAAGCCGGGGGCAGAGGGGTCGATGTGAATGGTGGTTCCACTACTGCAAGAAGAAAGCCAGGTGGGGGAGCCAACCTAAAGAGGAACACTTTGGTTGAAGAAACACCATATTTATAGTTGACGTTTTCTTTCTTTTATGAGGCTGCCTGTGTGCAACTCAGGTAAATAGAGCCCATTTGTTCTGAGAGAACAAATCAAACTTAGCCCTTTAAACTCAGGAGCATACAACTGGGATTTTTCTAGATTCTGAAAGAAAAAAGAGAAGTCTAAAAATCAGAAAGAATCCAGTCTAAATAGCTCTTTTCAATAAATTTGGACACGAGATTTTTTTCTTCTTATGTAAAATAAACCCAAAAGAACATAAATAATTCCATTCAGCCAAAGATAGCTCTGGTGCCCCAGAAAGAGGACAGAGAAGTAGGACTGGAAAGGCTGAGCCCATCATACACACTCACCCTCCGCTCACTCAGAGTTGGCTGCCTGTGAGTGCTGAGGAAATGTGAGGCATCTGTGGTACTCACTTTTTGCATCTATGAGCCGCTCCCGGGGTGCAGTGTCGGAGGAGGAGAGCTGCTCCTTGACTTTGGCGATATCTTTAGGATGCAGGTAGTCAAACAAACTCTGACCAATCAGATCATTCTGTGGAGATGAAATGTTAAACATGGCAAGTCAACCGCATGCAGAAAATCAATTACGCAACAAGTAAGCACACACAGTCTGCATGTTGTCTTTGTGTTTTTGTGTATGAGACCTCAAACTTTTCCTATGTGAACCTGTACATATGTCCAACCACTTTGCCTAGACACAAGGAAGGAGGCATCTGGAGGTTAATTCTGATAACGTGAGAGGAAAACCCTCAATTATATAGTTCATGCTCTTCTAAGGCAATAATCTTGGAATTCCCCGGTAAGACCTCAGAAGGCGGAAGATAGGGGTGGGCTCTGACTCCAGCTCTGCTGTTCAGCCTCTCTGTTCCCAAGCAAGTTACGCATATCATAAGCTTCAGTCACCTTGTCTATTAAGAGAGAGATAACAGCAACTTCCTCCATAACTTTGCTCTGAGACTAAAAAGAGCAGAAATCTTTGGAAAAATTAAATTTACATTAATTCTAATTTACATAAATGTCATTTTGATTCTTCAAGTCTTCTGCCTACCAAGCTTCCATGCAAATACCAGTGTGTCAGTGAGTGAATGAATAAATGAATAAAAGCTCTGGGGGACATAACAGGTGAAAAGCTCTGTTCTAGAAGCGTTTATAAATGTTACTCTTATTTGATCCTATAGGTTATCATCATCAATTTTTAGAGTAAACTGAGGTTCAATAGAGCTAAGAAGTGACACAGCACTGCAAACACAGTATGGAGTGGATTTCCAAGTGTCGCATTCTCTGTTATTGTGTTACCTGCCTACCCTTCTCCCTTGTCAGATAGCCTCTTACCCTCTGTCCTCGCCACATATTGTGGGATAGTTATTTTGCAGCAATAGAAGAAAGCCATAATGCTACTGATCAGATCAGAGTCAGATCTTCCAATGGGGGGAATATGGAACATATTACCAGACTGTTCTAAGTCTAAATTAATTTATCTGTTAAGAAGTTAAGAATTTTCTGGAAGAAGTTCACATGTGACTTGTATACTAGAATTATTCTGACAAAATTGAGTGACACTTCTGACTGCTGTGAGGTTGCCCACCACCAACAGGAGCATGCACAATACCTGGCTGTAGTTGAGGATCTTGAAGACAGACTCTGAGACAAAGAGTATCTTCCCTCGGTCACATCCTACGACAAACAAAAATCCATCTGCTGCCTAATCAGGAAAAATGGATAATCAATTTCTCATACTTTAGGAAAGATAACTTGTAATCCCCCTGATAACTAATAGAGGATGTGCCTTCTAAGCATCCAAAGCACAGGAACAATCACTGACAGTTTCAGTGATATCCTGAGTGCAGGATGCTGAAAACAAATTGTGTGTGTGTGTGTGTGTGTGTGTGTTTCTACATATCATCTAATTATTATAGAAAAAAAGTCCAATTAAAGTAAGTTCTATTTCAAAGCAGAATTCAGCTTGTACGTATTCTTTTGAAGGTATCATGGTCCAGAGAAATCATACTTCTTTGCTCTAATTATAACAACTCTATGGAGAGTCAGAATCTGAAATTTGGAAGGACTCTTGAAAAATCCCCTCTCTAACATCTCAGCCACCATCTGCCTTCAACTTGAAAACCTCCATGTACAGGGAGCTCTCTAAAACAGTGGTTCTCAACATTTGGAGTAGTGTTTTTTGTTTTTATGCTGATGGTCTGGCACGGGGCTGATCACTGGGGCATTTTTTAAACCCATCCCACTTCCACGTTAATGTGATTCTAACGTACACAGGGCTGAGAACTACTACTCTCAAATGTTATCCCTCCATCCAGGGCTGGACTATTTGCATTCCAAGTGAGACAAGAAAAGCAAACTCCTCCACCCCACCACTTAGATTCTTCTTACCCCTTTCTTCAGTTTAAATACAGGAAAAAATCTAAATGTTCCAATAAAGCCAGTCATTAAGACAGGACAACATTTGGTAAAGAGACTGAAGCAGGTAAATACCCAAGCTATAGTGCCTGAGAGCTTGGGCTGTTTTGTCAGCATATGTGTGAATTCCACCCACTGCCTTCCAGACATACAACCACTCAATTCCTGCTGGGGTCTTCCGGTGACAAGGAGGGTGCGCCCCACTCTGTCATGCCTTTGCTCTTATGACTCAGCCCTCCTTGGTTCTAATACACAGTGGGCTAGTTTCTCACCTTATTCACTGGTCCTCAATCTATTCTTTGGAAAAATACAGAGAAACTCTGTTCTCTTTTTCCACAAAAGGGCCTTCATGATGTAGTTTAATTCAAGGAACTAGGAAATGAATTAATGTGCCAGAAGGTAAAAGAATAGTGCATGCACTTGTGCTGGGACAGAAGACATGAGTGAGAGGGGAACAGAATCACTGTTGCTGTGAGACCCTGGCAGGCTACTCAGCCAGAAGGAAGCTGGGGAGGAGCCTTTCCTAAGTTAGGTCCCTAAGCTGGCCCAGGGGCAAGGGATGACAGTGAGGGGGAAGTAACTTTCCAAGCACCATCTGCTGGAAGCCTCATTCTGTCAACAAATAGGGTATTAATAACTTCCTCGTTTGCCTTGCAGATAATCTTATATCTCACAGAAGTGTTTTTGAGGCTTTTCATTGATGTGGCAATGTGGCTTGAAAGGTACCTGGACAGAAGGGAACTGTGACACCCTGGAGGTAATGCTGGCCAGGGTCAGGCCTGAACCGACAACATGGGTAAAGCTATTTCAGCACTCCAGGGGAAAGCCAGCAGGTTCCAAAGCAGTGAATGCATCAGCAGGGGGAGGCTCTGGACATTCCAACTCCATAGCACCCTGGCTGGCAGACCATCTGTGAAGGAGTCGGGCCCAAAGGACAGCTAAGGAACAGAAGCTGTGAGAACACTACCAGCACCACAGAGCCACAGGGCCAGCCCTGTAGGGTCACTCTTGGGAAGACAGTGCTGGTTAATAAATGACACAGAGGCCCTGGTACCGTCTGCCTGGTTTTTAAAACATGAAGAAGTAATGTAGACATTGTAAACTGATACAGTTGACTGATCCCTGACATACACTTTATTAAAGATATTTTGAAAGCACTTAGTAAAGAAAGCAGTTTGTCCATTTTGCATTGCTGAGGAAAAGCAGAAGTCCAGCTCCTGCAACCAAACTGTCTGAACATCATCTGAGTGGACCTGGCTTTCTGTTGAAGCAAGTCCCTGGAACTGGGCCCCTGGAAGTGATAAGGGATTGGACAGCATTTCACAGCCACTGACGTGCCAGAGAGGTGACAAAAGCTTCATCAGGCAAGAGAGATCACTCTTGAGTGCTGCATAAAACAAAGGAGTAGAAAAGACAAGCCCAACATGAAGTATTTAGCTGAGATAGCATTATAATCCTTGTTCCATACCCTGGTAAGTATGGGTATCTGATAGAAAATTATTAAGAAAAGCAACAAAAATAAAACGATTAAGCATGTGCCATTGCAAAAGGAGCTTGTTTTATTTATTTTTAAATTTGTCCATCCACAGGACTCTGCTTGATAATTATTTTACATATATATATATATATGAAATAAAGACATAGATTCTTTTTCTTAAAATAATCAAGCCTGTACCCCAGCCTCAAATGTCATTGATTTGGATGTTCCTAGAACAATGCCAAGCCTCTAGTAAGTACACAAAAGTGTTTGTTGGATTCATGAATACGCAAGAATGAAAGAGATAGAGGCATGCCTATCACATCTACAGCTGCAGATCTGTTACCAGTATGGGAATCAGGACCAGTTACATAATTTGTGGGGCCCAGTACAAAATGAAAATGCAGGGATCCTTGCTCAAAAATTACATTTTCAAGATGGTGACAGGGCATTAAACCAAGCATGGGGCCCTGTGAAACTGCAGAGGTCGCAAGCCCATGAAGCTGGCACCGATGACAGCTCTCAAGATGCTACAGACATCGGTCATATTTTAACCTCAGCAAATCTTCTCTGAGAACATAGACATCTTTATGAAAAGGATGGAGAGATGGACAGAGCTGGGTGTTTGAATAACTGTGTCCTGAGAGTGGTAACCAAAACACCATCACTCTCTTGATCGGGAGCCTGGTCCCACCCTAAAGTGTTTATCATTGATTTGGATGTTCCTAGAACAATGCCATGCATCTATTAAGTATACAAAAATATTTGTTGAGTTTATGAATAAACAAGGATGAAAGGCACAGAGGCATGTATTGAATCTACAAGTCACACAAAGATTCCAAGGGTCATTAATGACAAGCTGGACTGTGGGGCCATTCAACAAACAGGTTTTGACAGGAATGAAACAGAAGTCCTATCTTAAGTTCAAAAAAGCACCTATACAAGATGTAAAAAACCTGACCTAACAATAATTCATATTCAGGAGAGAAGGGGGAGGGGGCAGTACTGCAGCTGCCCCAAATGATGCGGTACTAATAAGATGGCAAGGAAGGCACTAGCCCCATTCATCCTCAGGCCAACCAGACCACAGTTGACATGCTATATTGGGTTGTGGGAGTCATTTCTGGAAGGAATCGAGCAAATGCATGTGACTCTGGAAAGTGTGTGTGGCAAACACTGTTGGGGGAGCCAATTCCCAACACCATTCCCAGGCCCCTTCTCTCTTGCCTGTCTCCATCAGGGAGGCTGGAAAATCTATACACACTTGCTTCTGCACCCTGCCCTGCAACTAGGTGTGACCAAGTGACACACTTTTGGATAAGGTGAAGTCCACTATTGAGTTTTCAGGAAAGTGTATCCTCTCTTGATAAAAAGGACAGCCAGACTAGAGCTTCATTTACCCCTATTTTTACAGTGGGTCTGGCTACTTAGACCTGGTGGAGGTACCCGGCTACATTAAGGAAACAAGCTAGCATGCTAGCTTGGTGTGGCTGAGTGCAAAGACAGAAAGAACCTGGTTCCTATTGAGCTCATTGAACCACTGCAGCAACCCCACATAACCTACTCCAGACCAGTTATACTTGAGAAATGAGACTCTATTTATTCATCAGGTCTTCTGGTCCTCGCAGGTGAATGCTTTCCAATTTGAGATAGCACGTCATGAGGAGATAAATAGAGAATGCTGGAGTGAGCAGACAGGCCAGGCTTACAGAGAGCTGAAAATGGATAGTGATGATGCAAAATTCCAGATGGACTACCCTCTACTCCAGGGCTTTGCAAACTTCTGCTCAAAGATGGGTATGCAGATTCTGTAGGCTGTGCAAGTAAGGTCAGCCCTGACTTCGTGGGAGGTGGAAGCAGGTATCCTTCCTTTTAGTTAACATTTTTCTATTCTTCTGTTTACAATTTGCAAGAACACGTTTCTGAATTCAGTTTCTTTCCCTTCAATTCCCAAGTTAATCTCACTTTACCTAGTAACACTACTTAGAGCCCTGTGCAGACCTAATTCCTCATGGAAGACAACAGGTTCCCACAGTGCCACCTCAACCATCTCCCAGCAGAGAGTTAGCAAGACAGAGAGCGCACTCAAGTCAAGCAAGTGAAAGCATATACCTCTTGCATTTATTTTTCTTATTTGGACTACTAGTCTTTGGAAGTTTGTTTGTTTCTTTGATTTTTGAGACAGAGTCTCACTCTGTTGCCCAAGCTGGAGTGCAGTGGCGTGACCTCGGCTCACTGCAACCTCTACCTCCCGGGTTCAAGCGATTCTCATGTCTCAGCCTCCCAAGTAGGCACCTGCTACCACACCCAGCTAATTTTTATATTCTTAGTAGAGGCAGGGTTTCAACATGTTGGCCATGCTGGTCTCAAACTCGACCTCAGGCGATCTGCCTGCCTTGGCCTCTCAAAGTGCTGAGATTATAGGCGTGAGCCACAGTTTTGTTGTTCTGATGAGATTTTGGTGTAAAGATTTAGGTGGACTTTTTTTGTGCTAGTGGTTAAATCAGGTGAAAAGAAAGTCTCAATTGTTGTTGGTTTCAGTCCCTTCCTAAAATCTTCATGCAGAAATGTGATTCTTAAATCTCTCTTATTTTTAACAAATCTTGCCTCTTCTGATTTAAAATTGCAGTAGCATAGGCCTTCCATTTTTGCCTAGATGAGGTTAAAAGAGGAGGAGAATGGTTTTGTGGAAGAAATGTGAAAGAAGCCTGTCCAAACAATAAGATAAAGGGAGGGACCCGAGAGAGGAAGCAGGCCTAAAAAAAAGCTCAGTGTTGAAACATCAAATTCCCACATGCTGCTACTTACTTGAAAATTTATCAAAACAAATGTTGTAAAACAATCCCATAATTGAACATACCCTGAGAATGAGGTGTTTCAATTCATCGTCTGATAGAAAAGTTGGTTTGTAGTTTGCTTCTGTATATGGATTGGTGGCACCTTAGGGGGGAAAAAGAGAAAGTATTGGTATACTTGATATTCAGAAAATGTCTCATTCTAATTTGCTGCCTCAAACCTTTTGCAAGTGACCTAGTCCCTGTGACCTGGTATTTAAATTTTGTTGTTTAGGCCTTAACTGAGATGGGCCTAGATCTGGCTTTGGACGGAATGCTGTAAGCCAAAGATAATACCATGGAAAAGAGAACACTGTTACCCATAGGAGACCTAACAAGCCTGTTTTTCTCATTACAGGGAAAACCAAGAGATAATAGAAGGAAGTTTAACAATCTGCTTCTAGGAGAGAAGGCAGCTCTGGAAGTAAACTGGTAGAGGCTCCTCAGAGAGTTCCCTCTTCCTAAGATCTGTATTAAATGGGTTGTCTGGTAGTCCTTCAAATCACCACTCTAAATGTTCTTGGGAACCCATCCAGTCTGCCAGGCCCTGAGTAAATATATTGTGGAAGGCATTTAATGTGAGTTCCTCTTCATCGGGGTGAGTTAAATGAGTGTGGCAATGTGGAGGAATGCATTGCTTCAGTCAGTGCAGCTCCCACTCCCAGGACTGAAAAGGGACAAGACTTACGCTTAAAAGGTTGTCAGTCTGGCATTTTTCAGGAGAACAATCACTTAACAAGAGAAAAATGCCAGCAGTAAATGATTTGGAGTCTGCAGAATAGCAAGTGGAATAGTGAAAGAATAAAATGAAACGGATCTGTAACAATTCAAAGTGCCATGGGGAGGGAGGGAGACAGGACGTGTTGCAACCATTCAATTGATCCCTATCCCTGCTCTTTATTGTAACTTGAGATTTGCCACTTATTTCCAATTTAATAGAAATTAGTTTATAATAATTTAACCCGTGTTATCTTTGCTAATATGAATTTTTAAATGTCATTCTCCCAGCACAGGATACAACATTTATATTTTTGGATAATGATCTAAAGTCAGACAAAACCAGTTACTTCTTATTTCTGGTGGCTTTGTGCAAATATAAAAAGACGCAATTCTACCACGCAGGTCAGAGATCTGACTGAGCGCCCACTTTCCAATTTCCTCCAAAAGTCCAAGACTAGCTATGGAAAATTCCAGGAACAGCATTCACTAAAATGCCTGATATATTTCAGATTTCTCTTGTGGTTTGGATAAGTCACTTCCACTTTTCTGCCTCTGTTTTCTCACCCTCCCCACACTCAGAAAAGAAGGAAAATACTGCCTCCCTCACAAAGAGTGGATCTGGTTCGGGAAAATTCCAGGAAGATGAAAATATCTTCAGTGTTCATTCCTGACAACAAAATGCCGCGAGAACCCGCAACCCGTGACTCACTTTTCAAAGGAACCATGATGCATTTTCATCTTTGAAACTGACTTTTCTGTGTCACTGTGTGCACCTACATTTCTGCGTGTCATAATTGTAAGGATGGGATCCAGGCACAAACATAGGCAAGATGTGAGACATCAGAGCAGTATCGTGTCTGATAGGCACATAACCTGATTACATGCATATACAGAGATGTGCAAAGCACATAGTTTCTATGCTCTAAGAATGTGTGACTGCAAAATTGCATGTCAAAACCCACATAAGCTCAATAATCACTTCATTTGGCATCACGGCTGTTGCTGAAAAGTAAAGGCATACTACTCAAGGCTACATAATTGCAAGTAATAAACATTTGCCTTAGGGAAGGAACATTCTAGGCAAGGGTGGTAACATTTGTGGGCAAGGACATAAAGGACAATAGAGCCCAGGGTCTCACCTCTTAATGTTTTCATGTGCTGAACAGCCATCCTTAGCACAGTAAGTTTATCTAATTTCCTGGACATTGCGTTGCATGTTGGTACCAAAGAAGCCAACTCATCTATAAAACTGTTCATTTTATCCCGGCGCCGCTTTTCAATCTGACTGTGAGCTTCCCTGAACAACAATATGAAAAACGATTTCTTATAAAATGTAACCAAGCATCAAGAAAAGACGACAAAAATAAATGAGTTGTAACTGTTTTCAATGTTCATCTGACAAGGCAAATTTAGAATCTGCAGAACGTTCAAAATTAGACTTTTCTACTAAAGTCTCCAAGAAAATGGTCTCACTGCCAGGTCAGCATTAGTTTATGTTTACCTCATCCTTAGAATTCAGGAGAAAAGCTACAAAAATTGTCTTTTCAGAGTAAACTGAATTGTTCATTTCTCCTCATTTCTTTTCCTCTCAGCCTTTCTAAAATTGGATTTTGAAATGGGGGTGAAAGGACAGAGAAGGGAGGTGGTGGCTTCACAGCACAGAACATCCAGAGCCCCGTGGGCTGTCCCTTAGGTCTGTGAGGAGCCCGCTGTGTGGCCGTGTGACCTGGGCAGGGCACCACTTCTTTCCAGTCACAGCCTCACTGACTAGGGCACCCAGTAACCAACACCATCATCCTTGGATCAACCAGGACTCCACCTAGGTGCAGCAGATGCTACATCTGTCCCCAGGGGCCTCCCCTGAGGAATGTCACACTCCTCCCTCCCGGGAGTAGCTGCCTGCTGAGGCAGGCTGACACTGACTGATGTGCATCTGCCATTGGTGACGGTCCTCCTAAGGAAGTGCAGCAACTATGGAAATTCAGTTTGCTGCAGCTGCCACAGATACAGAGCCATGGGACCTCCTGCCAAGGCTGGCCTCTGAGGGAAGAGCTTGAAGCCTTAGGGCAGCCAATTTCTGCAGCCCCCTGTATCAGTCTGTCATGATGCAGCCTCAGAACACAGCCTGGTGCTAACGGCAGAACTGAGGACCCAATGGGAAGAGGTCAGCAAGTGTGGCTGGAGGCAGGAAGGACCCAGGCAGAGAATCTACTAGAGGCACCTAGTGTGCCCCATGTGGTGCATTCAGTTGCAACTCGCAGTGCAATAGGAGCCCCTGTCAGAAGCAAGTCCCAGCCATGTCTCCTGTGGAGGGCGCTCCAGTCAGGAAGACGCAAATCACTGAGCAATGTCTCCTGTAGAGGGCGCTCCAGTCAGGAAGGCGCAAATCACTGAGCCATGTCTCCTGTGGAGGGCGCTCCAGTCAGGAAGACGTCCTCTGCTGAAGATTGGGGAAAAACTTGAGCCTTGACTGATTTCTGCTACCTTCAAATCCCCTTCAGGTTAAAGGTGCTCAGACAGCAAAGAGTAAAGGCCAGCCCAGTATGGAGAGCATGGAGGGCAGAAGGCCACCTTGGCCAAGGCCCACTACCTGCCTGTTCCCTGAGGAGGAGGTGACAGTGCCCAACAGGACTCTTAGACAGGAACGAACATGCAGAGCCTCCTTAGCTGCTCTCTAAGCAACCAGAACTAGAACGCTTTGTAGACAAAATGAGGTCCAAGATTACCTTGCATTTTTTATCCTTCCTTGGTGTTCTGTATATTCTAACCTGGGGGGAGGAAAAAGCAAAAGATAAAAACATAATTCCCTGGAGATGAATGGCAAAGTTACACATTGCTGTTTTCTTCTGCCCGATCCCTGTCATCTCTCTGCAGACACACGAGGGGATTGGGGGTTGAAGGGACACAGTGTGAGCCCACAGGCTCACAGCCTCCTTGCTCATCTCCAGTTGAGGACATGGGTGCTGCCCCAAGTAATAGAATGTGTAACAGTGCAAAGAAAATGGCTATAAGGATGCTGAAGTTCAAATTACTAGGTTCATGGTACCTTCCATGAGGGTCATCTTTGTCTGTGTCCATGCTTTCTCTGAAAAAACAAAAGAGAATGTGACTGCATGTTAATAAAGACATACAGAAGAGCTTCTTATCGTAAGACAGAAGGCTCTCATTTATCCAGAAACCAAACAATTAGAAAGCTGGAACAGCCACAATATCAATTAATGATGTATAATAAGGGTAAAACAAACAAACAGAAATTAACTTGAACTTACTATAAAACCTGGACCAGCTTCTCAGGTTATCAAACAAAAGTTATCATCCCAAAAGAGTCTGTGTGTTAATATATATTTTACCATATTCTGATTGTTTGAAAATTGGGAATATGTAGTGTTTATAAAAATGCTTAGTTAACCATAGGCTCGAAATATCTCTAACCTCTCATTATCCCCATAATTCTGGATAAATGAAGCTTATTCCATTTGCAAAACATATTGAGCATCAAAAATAAATGTGCACACATATCTATTTGGCAGGGAAGGGGTGAAGTGAGGAGGGTGGAATTAAAGTACCAACAAAGTACTGAGCAGAGCCCCAGGCAGCTTTTCAAAGGCACTGCTGCCAAGTGTTCTGCTTCTCAGTTAGATGGGAACCCCTAGACTTCAGGAATTGGGATGGAGGGGTGTAGTGGGGCTGAGGGCCACAGAGGGTCCTGGGGTCACAGCAAAGATCTCCCTCCCTTTCACAGACTCTAGAAATCCAAGTTTCGTTGCATCCTGTGGTTCAGTAGAAGAAAACAGACTGAAATCCCCAGAGGAAGGAGTTCCAAACCCCCCTCACAGCCTTCTCCAATCCATACATTTATCAGGAGGGCATGGACTGCCAGCTGGGCCTCTCTCCTTTTTCCTTTATCCCATAGGAAAAGAGAGATCATGGCCCTTCAAACAATGTAATCCCAAGGGCAAAAATAGCTGTTTCTAGGAGCACTGGATCATATCGTGGGCATTCTAGAACAGTGTTCCCAATCAGATGCCCTGGGGTTCCTCACAGGCAGAAGGTTTCCCCAGCTAGTTCTAAAGTTCAGAGATCATGCAGGCCGCACGGAAAAACAAAAATTCCCCCCTCTCTTTTGTCTAGAATTCTATCTGTTCCTTGAGGCCAGGTGATAATCTCAGGTGAGAAAAAGCTCTGCCTGACAGTCATAGATGACTTCAGTTACATTAAAAGATAATGAAAGGGATTACGGTTGCTTAATTAATTGAGTCTCCATGAATTACAGAAGATTAGCAAACCAGAGTCCACAAGGGAAATCTTGGGTGGTGACCAGGCTGGAACCCACAGGTCTACATGACAGAGGCCTTAGAACACATCAGTGGCTCCCTCAGCGCTTGCTCAAGACAAAGGGTTTGTGGCCAACATCTCACAGTCTTTCTGCTGGGGAGTTACTGCTATGGAAGAACGCCCTCACAGCCCTCATACCCACTCTCCAGCCCCTGGGTGTTGGCTGTCTTAATCATCTGGGATAACTTACATATTAATCATAGCATCTCCTAGTGGGCATCTGACCTCCAGCCATTGTGCTCCCCAAATTCGACCTGTGAACTTCAGCAGAAAGGACATCTGCTGTAGGGGGGATACCTCCTCGGAGATTTTCCCTCATTAAACAAAAGAAAACCTCTTAAATGGACATTTGGGTAAGATTCCACGCAGGTGCTTCGGCAAAAGAAAATGTGCCTTTGAATGTTCTACACTGCCTTATTCCCGAGGTGTTTGTACATATATAGAAGGGATGACTGTGAGTGTGAAAATTTACTTAAATGAAAAGTCATTAAGTCTAAAAGTAAACAAAAATACTATTTAATATAACAAGTTCATACTAATTTAAATAATGTTTAAGGACAATATCAATGTTCCTAAATTGTTTTCAGAGAGGACCTCCACTCATTCCTCCCATAAACATTCATTAAGCACCTGACACTTGCTGTCTTCCTCAGAGAGGTCCTCGGGCTAAGCTCTCTTTGAACCCCCTGAGATGACACCCATAGACTTAACCCTCTTGCTCAAAGGAGCAATGAAAGAAGAGGAAGAAAGGGGTAAAAGGCAGAACTTGGCCTTAAGGCTGTTCTTTTTCTCTGGGTGTAGAACATTTTGGGAATAGGAGGTGGAAGTTAAATGCCTCAGTAGTGCTAAAGGCTCCCTTCTTGCTTACAAACTAGGGGAAGGTAAAGCCAAAAACCAACTGTGTAGCCACCTAGAGTTAGGTTTTTTATTCCCATCCCCTTTTCCAGGAGAAATAGTAGCTGGTTGCTAGATGTTCCATGCCCAAGAACTGACACCAAGTTTAACAAGAGGAAGACATGCCCCAAAGGCCTTACTGGTAGTCAGTGGAGCTGCCTTTCCGTTTGCGGTTGCAATCCACACCACTGGTACCAAGAGAGCCGGAAAGCAGGTCAGTGGGGCCCGGGGACATGAAATCACTGATGGTTGAAGAAATGTCCATTCTCTGGTCTGCCATTGGATGATCTGGAATTGTTACAAGAGGCACAAAGGCGTGTTTATTTCGATGAGCTCTCGAAAGCGGTGGAGAACCCAGGGTGGTGCTTGGGGGTTTGGTGGTGGGGCGGGCAGGGCTGGGGGAGACCCGGGGCTGGTTTACAGCAGCACTAACGCATCTCTCACACCCCCGGACCCAGAACAGGCATGATAGAATGGAAAAAGCATCATATTTATTTTAAGAGTTTTTGTAGGAAATTTAAGCTCACCCGCTCATTTTTCTGGTGAAGACATAAAAGCCTAGAGAAGCTGAGCAGATTCTCAGTCCCTGTGCTGTGGCATGGAAAAACTAAACCAGAACCAGAAACTCTAGGAGTGACAACCCAGGGAAGTTCCCACTGAGGGGACCAAATATCCCAGATGTTCTCTGACAATGCTAATTATTTTTCCTCCCTTTTCTCCACCAACAAAGCTAATTTTATTTTATTTTTATTTTTTACTTGTTTTGAGACAAAGTCTCACTCTGTCACCCAGGCTGGAGTGCAGTGGTGCAATCTCAGCTCACTACAATCTCCAACTGCCAGGTACAAGTGATTCTCATGCCTCAGCCACCCAAAACGCTGGGAAGCTGGGACTAAAGGTGTATACCACCACACCTGGCTAATTTTTGTATTTTTAGTAGAGATGGGGTTTCACCATGTTGGCCAGGCTGGTCTTGAACTCCCGGCCTCAAGAGATCTGCCCATCTCAGCCTCCCAAAGTGCTGGGATTACAAGTGTGAGCCACCACACCTGGCTGCTAATTGTATTTTCTTCTAATCAATAAACATATGATCAAGGAAACGAATAAATGCAAGTTCCTTATTATCTTTGTACTTCTGTTAGGACTTTTGAGAGCTTGTTTGGAGGTCCTAGCCGAATAGCGCAGTTACTCATATACCCTTGACCAAAGACTAGTCCTCCTCTATCGGAGATGGTCATCCTTTTTGAGCATACAGCTTTGGGAGGGACGCACATGGACTGGCGAGGGAGGAATGGGACACCTGCCTAGCCAGCCAGATCAGCTCAATCAACCCTGGCGATCAATGGGGTGACAGACGTTGCAGCCAGATCGTCCTCACATCCTGTTATGACCTTTGTAAACATTGTAAGAAAGCAGAAAATATCCTTTCTTCCACTGTAAGTCTTGCTTGGGAATCAGGAAAATATGGTCCCCTCTATCACAGCCCAGGCAGTCGGCCTGTTTTCCCCCACTGTCAGCATCCTTTGCAAGGAAAGCCATGAATGATGAAATGAAGACATTGTAAAGAAATTTGCAAAACATTTTGAGAACTCATATTTTAAAAGCATTAAGCAAACCAGCCCTTGAAAAGGGCCTAACAAGTGCCTTGCAAGGGACTCTGACTCCAAGCCCAGTTGAAGAGGTTGGGCAGGGTGCCTGCCTACAGTCAGGGGGTCTGAGCTCCGTGAAGTAGGACTGGAGCTGTCACTATCTCCCTCTGGACCCAACTTCCTTCATCTGCAAAACAGGAGGGTGAGTGTGAGCTACTGTTTCCCACTGTCACTGTTCTGCCGACAGAGAAGTGAACCAGTTGCCTCCTGGTTAGATGACTGCCATTTTTTCACTTTGATAAGCACTGCTGGGGTGAACATCTTTGTGCATATATCTCCCTGCATTTGAGCGATTATTTCTTAGAATAAATTTCTAAAGGTGGGACTGACAGGTCAAAAGGGGACACATGTATTCTGGAACATACTGTAACGCTGTGCTCCAGAAAAGCGACAATAATTTCTATCCCCAACAAGAGTTCTTGCCAGTCTGAAGAGGAAAAAAAGAAGACCTTGTTGTTTTCACTTGTATTCTTCAGCTATTACTGATGGTGCTCTTCTGTTTACAGGCATTTCTCTGTCTTCCCTTGTGTCTGCTCGTGTCCTGTTTTTCTACCACAATGGCCTCCTACCCCGTGTTCACCTGTGTAACAGGGCATGGCTGGAGAAAACATACCCCTTAGAGGCCTGCATGCCGCCCAGCGATGCTTCATTCCCCTGGCCATTTATTTTCTCATTCTGCTATGAAGGACTTCATACTTTGTCCTCTCTCCTCAAACTTCCATCATCTCCTCAGTCTCCATTCTCCGCTGAGGACTCTGCTTCTTAGTGAACTGAGAAAAGAGGCAGGTGCACACCCACCACCTCCTTAGATGCTCCTACTTAGGATCCCTTCCCAGCTCATGCCTGGATTCTACCTCTCCCACCTCCTCGAGACCACCATTTCAGAACCCTCGCCCCAGCCCAATCCTGCACCATCCACTCTCCCCACGCTACTGAATCATTTCCACTTGGGTAAAAACAAGAGTTATGTAATTCTCATCTTGGGAAAAATAAACTTACTTGAATACCATCCTCCTCCAGCTATTGTCCCATTTCTCTGTCTCCGGTTTTTTTCCTCTTATTCTCAATAACCCAACTCCAATCAGATTCTCTCCCCATCATTCCCACAAAACAGCACTTGTCAGGCTGACCAGTGACCTCCCAACTGCTAGATCCAATGGCCAGTTCTCTCCTTGCCCATCAGCACATCCAGGAGAGCTGACCTCGCCCTTCTCACTGTCTCATGCCTTGGGAGATCCCCCTTCTTGCAGGATTCCTTCCGTCAGTGGTCACTCCCTTTTGCTCTCTTTGGCTGGCTCCTTCTCATCTCCCTCAACTTCAAGGAAGGGTCCCATGGATGTCCTGGGCCCTCTTCTCTATCTACACATGCTCTCCAGGGGCTCTAGTGTCATTCCTTCAAATACTATAAACACTGTAACAACTCCCAAATTTACATCTCCAGCCCAGATGTCACCCTGAATTACAGATTTTTATGGCCGACCACCTCCCTGACGTCCTCACTTGAATATACAAGAGAGATGTCAAACTGAAACATCCATAACCAAAACTCTAATTCTCTCCAAGCCAAGCCTCTCAGTCATTCCTATGTCAATCCTTCTGGTTGCCAGGCCCCAAACCTAGAAGCCATCCTGACTCCTTTCTTTCACAACCTGAATTCAATCCATCAGCAAATCCTATCAGCTCGACATTCCAAAAACAGCAAATTTGCTATCAGCTCGACATTCAATGACTTTCCCTTTTTCTTCACATGTCATTTCATCAGTGAAGCCCCCTTGAATAGCCATATGATGCAAACCCTGCCAAGCCTCCCTAGCCCAGCCCCCTGCTTAATGTTTTGTCCTTAGCCCTTATCAACATGTGACCTACCACAATCTCCCATATTCACTGGCTGTCCTCTCCAGCAGGGTCTAAGCACCAGGACAGCAGGCACAGTAATTACTCCCTGTGCCCTTAGTGCCCAGAATACTTTCTAGTACATACTAAGTGCTCAATAAATACATATGGAATGAAAGAATAAATTTGTATACCAAGAATATTAATTTGTTCATCATTGATGTTGCCAACACTTTTTCCACCCTTTTGCTTAACTTTGTTTACGATATTTGTATGTGGCACCAAAAGTGACATGTTTTAAAAGCCTTTTCTTACCCAGAATGATATAAATACTCTCTTTTTTCCTAAGATTGTAATGATTTTTTTAATGTAATGCTATTTGGAAATTATTTTGATATACTACCTAAGCTTAGGAATTTATTTCCCTCTAATGGATAGGAAATGTTTTCTAACACCATTTGCTAGCTCATACATCCCATTGTCACTAACCTGAAATACACCTTTATTGATTTATCACCTATTTCTGGACTCTCTACTCTGTTCCTCTGATCTAGTTATTTCCATCACAGTACCATACTGTTTTTATGACTGCGCTTTAGAATACATTTTAATAGCTAGCAGAACAAATACTCTCTCACCGCTCTTTATTTTCAGACATTTCCTAGCTATTCTCTCTGATTTACCCCTCAAGAAGTATTTCATGATTATTTAATCATATTGAAGACCCTGTTGGGTGGGTGACATTGTTGTTATTTTGTCATTAACATTTACAGAAGCAGGGCCAGGAATGAGTACCGAGCCCTGCCCTCAGGGTCCTGGTGATTTATGGAGCCCTGGTCCCCTTGGACCACGCAGCAGACATGAAGTACCTCCAGAATCCCCCACTCCCTTTTTTGACCAGTCAAACAACCGCATGAGGTGGAATATCCCAAGTTTCAGAGTTCCTGGAAGAAACTACGCTTCCTAAAGGAAGAACTGCCATGCAAGCCACCAATAATCATCAGTTCACAGGGGGCAGGAATGGGATACTACTTTGTTACCTGAAGTTACGGTTCTTACACCCCAGATCCAGCTTGGGAGGAGTTAGGGGCCTCTGGACTTGGTCACCTCAAAGCGATTTTCATGTTTTATAATTTCTTTTCAGGCGGTCAGCTTCTTCCAAAAACCTACAGTGGGGGCCACAAGAAAAGAAAACCCAGACAGCTCACTTTGAGGTAAGTAAGTGTAAAAATCTCTTATTAGCTAAGGGAGACAGTGGAGATGGTTCATGATTCCTAATTACAGGGAGGAAGGCTGGGCGAGCACGTCACATTCTACCGGCACTTACCACCCCTTGCTGCCTGGCCATCCTTCAGCTTCTTGTTAAAGCTAAGTTGCAAACACATGAAAAAAATCTGGCAGGAGATATTTTCTGTGAAAAACAATGCCTTCAAAGTTACTAAAATTGGATTCTTGGGCATGTCCTTAGAAGAAAGTTAGTTGTGTTTTTTTTTATTTCTCCTACGGGGTCAAGTAATCATAATTGTGACAACTTGCCGAGTGTGATTTTGTGTCAGGCTCTATCCTTATTGTTTCATGTAGATTAACTCACTGAAACCTGAAAATAACTCTACGAGGCAGACACTTCTGTGTTCTCCATTTTACAGAAGAGACTGAGGCACAGAGTGGTAGAAAAACTAGCCAAAGTCACATAGCAAGAGAGTGGTAGCCTCCAGAAGCTACCTCGCTGCTGAAGACACCACTTAGCTCTTGCTAGGTTGAAGGTAGTGGCCTGAAGCCAGACAACAAGAACAATGAAAAACAACGGAAAACAAGTCTTCAGAAAACATTAAGCCGAAACATAATGCCAGCAGAGCCAACACCTGAAACTAACTGCTGAAGCAAGCTCCTCGGTCTAAAGAAAACATCAGTGAATCTCAAGTGCATCTGGGCACATACGAAGTTAAGAAAGAAAGAAATTCTGAAACAGGGTTCATGGTAGCCACGTGGCAGTGCTGCCCTCCCACTTACTGAAAGGACTGAGGGGTCTCCTCTCCACCCTATGACTCATGTGGAGGATTCCTGTGTCTGGCAGGAACTGGCTCTGAAAGGAAGAAAAGGGTCACCCCACATCCTCCTAATCCATCCCTGCACTGCCTTGAGATGGCAAGATTTAGATTTTAAACAGGGCTTTCCTGACCTTTCTGAAGCAAAAATTTTGGCATTTCAAATTTCACTGGTTAATTCTTGCAGTCTTTGGGGTATCTCTGCCTCGATCGTTATAGAGATCTCCAGATGAATATCTGCGAATACATCTGCTTCCAGCCTCCCAAGGCATTCATTCCCCATTGCAATCTGATTCAAGAACCCTCACTTTCGGATTCTGTTAACCCCAGTCTGGGCACATGCAAATAATGTGACCAGAAATTTTGGGCTTCTCCTTGAGCCTCAACTGGTAAAGCAGCAGCAAATGGATGTGAAATCCCCAGGCTTAATATACGTAATTCCATCTAAATCTGATTCTCTGTTTAGGTCACACGCTATCCTCCCAGCCCCCAAATTAGCAACCCAGAACCTACCCTGGGCTTCCTTCTTCTCTCCCTCCCACACCCCACAGCTCCCACACAGCCCTCTAAGGGATGGGCCCAGCCACTTCCTTCTAGCTCCTTGTCACTGCCTCTGTTCAGTCTGCTGTCCTCTCCAGCCCCATTCCCTCCCCACTGTGGTCAGAGGTGGGACACCCCCTTGCTCAGACCACTGCAATAGCTTCACTGCTCCCCCTAAGTCTTCCAGACAAAGTTCACCGCCCCCCCAGCAGGAAACATCAGGCCTTGCTTAATCTTCAGCCCAACCCTCCCATCTGCTGCCCAAAGCCCCCAACAGACTAAAGACGATAGTTCCCAGAACCACCTGCCTCTGCTGGGCCCACATTTCTTGGAGGTGTGGCTCCCTTCAACCACCCTGTCACCTGATAAACTCCTACTTTCCTTTCCTGTGCCTGCGGGCACACCTCCTGGAGAAGCCTTCAGAGCTGTATCCTCTCTCCCTGGCTCTCCTGCAGCAGCTCCTGCCCAGGTTCCTTCACGCCCTGTGGCCATTCTCTGCTTGTAGGCGTGTCTCCTCTACCACCCATAAGCTTCAGGTAGGTAGGGCCTTATTTATAGGCATCTCCTGTGCCTGGTCTCACGCCTCACTCCAGGTGGTACTCAACAAATGCTAAATAAAGGAAGAACTTCATGTCCTTTCTCGTTCTCTGAGTTCCCTGAAATTTACTTAATTATTTAATTATTTTTTGATACAGTCTTGCTCTGTTGCCCAGGCTGGAGTGCAATAGCATGATCTCGGCTCACTGCAACCTCCGTCTCCTGGGCTCAAACTATCCTCCTGCCTCAGTCTGCTATGTAGCTGGTACTACAGGTGTGCACCACCATCATGTCCAGCTAGTTTTTATATTTTTTGTAGAGAGGAGGCTTTGCAATGTTGCCCAGGCTGGTCTCAAAGTCCTGGGCTCAAGCAATCTGCCCATCTCGGCCTCTCAAAGTGCCGAGATTACAGGCATAAGCCACCATGCCCGGCCCTGAGTTCCTTGAAATTTAGATGAAGGATCCAGATTTCAAGCACTAAACTCCCTATGAAATTTCTCATTTTGATCAATTTTCCCAATATTCAAATTTACTTTAAAGAAATAATAATAATAAATGCTAATAGATTTTGGTACTTTTGCAAAACAAAAATCTAAAAGCCTTTTTAATTTTTTTTTGAGACAGGGTCTCACCCTGTTACCCAGGCTGGGGTGCAGTGGTGTGATCATAGCTCACTGCAACCTCGAACTCCTAGCCTCAAGTGATCCTCCCACCTCAGCCTCCCAAGTAGCTGGGGCTACAGGCATGTGCCACCATACACAGCTAATTTTTTATTTTTAGAAGAGACAAGGTCTCACTATGCTGCCCAGACTCCTGGGCTTAAGCAATCCCTCCATCTCGGCCTCCCAAAATGTTGGGATTATGGGCATGAGCCACCACGCCCAGCCTCAAAAGCCTCTCTTGCATGCTTAGACAAGGTAAGGAAGCCAAACCAGTTGTGACACTTAATTAACATTATTTCTGGGAAACGGTTTTCTGCACAAGAAGGCATTCTTAGATGCAAGAACAATAAATAAAACAACAAAAGATAAAAAAGAAAGCCTCTTCTGGGCTACTTCCAAAAGGGATTTGAGCCAAAAGAGGTGCCTTTGAGAGGGTACCCTTGCCAAGGGTGGGCTCTGAGGGCCGCCCTGACCCGGCCATCCACATGGCATGTTCTGGTGAGGATGCTCTGGGGAGAGTGTGGCCTGTGGTCCTGGAGTCAGGGGCTGCAGGTGTGTCCACTTCTGAGCTAGAGAGTCCCAAAGGTGAGATGGAGTCTTGCTGGACCGCCAGAGAAAGCAGGGCATGGAGGGACTTGCACAGGATGCCTTGGAAGAATGTGAGAGCACCCTCCATTCCACCGAGGAGCATGGCGAAAGGATCTCAGGGGTCCCACAGGAAGGAGCAAGGAGGGTGGAAGAGAAGTCACAGCCCAGCCTGCCCTGCAGAGAGAGGCCTTGGCAGCTGAGAAAGGTGAGGGCATCAACCACTAGAAGGCGTCCAAAGGAGATACAGCTGCTCCTCTGAGCAGAGCAGGGTAAAGCTGAACACTGCCCCTCAAGAAACCCATACCCACTATCTACAGGAAGATGATCACATCCAAGACCCCCAGTCCAGACCAGGTGACTCTCCTTTCCCTGCTCCCTGCTCCAGCACCCTAAAAAGCAAAAGAACAGAAAGGTGAGCCTGGCAGAGGGGATCAGTGTTCCAGGCTGAGCTACCCCACCCAGTGGGAAGGTTCTGCACAGCCTGATGGCAGGGCTGGCCATGTGACTGACCCCGACCAGTGAATGAGAGCAGAAGTCACAGCCACAGCCTTCTAAAGGACCTTTAACATGTGTTCCTCTGTCTGCCCAAGACCGTCAATTTCCCGGATAGAGGCTCCTCCTTTAGCCAAGGCCCTGGATGGACAGTAGCACAACGAAGAAATAAACCTTTGCTACGGTAAGCCACTGAAATATTGAGGTTGTTTATTACCAGGGTGACCAACTCATCCATTTGTCCGGGACCTTCCCATTCAGCACTGAAAGTCCTGCATCCCAGAAAATCCCTCTGTTCCAGACAAACCAGGATGGTTGGTCCCGTAGTCAGTGCTATTGTACAACTCATCGTATGGTGACAGACACGGGCAGGAAGAAGGAAATTAAGACTAGGATTCTACAGCCACAGATCAAGCCTGATCCAAGAGCAGGAACAGGAAACAATGGCATTTACAATAAACAAGTTTAATCTTCACAATAATCTATCCATTCATTGTGATCATTATCCCAATTTTCAAGGTGAGGAACTAAGAACTGAAGAGACAACTTGTTTTACTTAAAATGACACAGCGAGCAAGTGGGGATGAAACCCAGGTGTGTCCAGCTTTACTGCTGGTGCTTCTAACTACCACATTGCTGCCAATCCTGCCTCCAAACACCACCTCTCAAAAGTATAATACAGAGACAAAAGCAACACAAACAAACAAAACATAAAAAGCAAGCATTCCTGGAAAAGGAACAAGGAGAATTTATAAGAAAAAGAAATCCTGGGTCAGGAAAGCTACAGGAACTGGGCAAACAAGTTATCTCTGAGCTTCCTGGCAGCCAGGGCAGAGAGGGAAATGCTGGCTCTCACTCTTTTAAGACCTGGAAGTGTATCAGGGAGTTCATCAGGACAGGCCTGAGCAAGGAGAGCTGTCTCTGGGAAGGTTCTCTCTATGGGACCTGAGTAAATACTATGCTGAATGGCTTGGGGAAAACAAGTGTTATAAAAGAACAGAGGACTTCCCCCTTTTTAAAATGGGACCCCAGTGAAGGCCTGCCTCTCCTTCTGGCCCACAGTGTTACCCCTAGTGTGACAGCTGGGTGGAGCTCTGTTAAAACACTTGGTGAAGC